CTTCTTCTTCTTCTTCTTCTTCTTCTTCTTCTTCTTCTTCTTCTTCTTCTTCTTCTTCTTCTCCTCCTCCTCCTCCTCCTCCTCCTCCTCTTCCTCCTCCTCCTCCTGTTCTACTTGTACCTCTGTTTCCATCCACCTCAAGGCTTCTTGATCCACAGATGTGGCCCAAAGTATTGGTATCTCTCCACTTTTCCCCAAAGAATCCCAATTTGCTGTGAAGTAAGTTAAAACTGACCCAAGAAAATCGCATGAACATAATTATTGGTAGCCATTAGAAGTTAAAAGACATCATTGGATTCTGGTGAGCTCTCAAGCAGAATACTTCCTTTCATTAGTACCACATGTATCTTCAGTCTCATAATCAGTCACTCAGCCTATCTGAATGGAGAAATGTACTCACTCAGGTGTTCTGTGCATTACGTGCAGCACCATGAACATGGACAAGAGAAAGAAAAGCAGAGAGTTGTCCGAGGAGGAAAGGAAGAAGCTAACAGCCAAGCATGGTAAAGGTAAAGGCTACAAAACCAAAGAGCTTTATGTTCCCACGACCAAGATTGCTAATATTGCCTAGAAGTTTAAGGTCCAGGGAACCGTAGCTAACCACCCTGGATGTGGCCGCAAGAGGAAAACTGGCCCCAGATTGAACAGAAGGATAGTTTGGTAGAGAAAGAACCAAGGAAAACTTCGAAACAGAACCTGGCTGATCTGATCTCCAGGATCAAGGTACAGCAATATCAAGTCACACTGTTCGTTGCTGCCAGACTGAAAGTGGCCTCTGTGACAGAAGACCCAGGAAGACCCAACTTCTGAAAGACAGACACAAAGAAGCCAGACTGGAGGTTGCTAATATGCATGTCGACAAGCCACAGTCCTTCTAGGAGAATGCTGTTTGGACAGATGAAACAAAAGTAGAGCTTTTTAGTAAGTCAGAGCAGCTCTAGGTTCCCTGAAGGAAAAAAGGATGCTTTTAAAGAAAAGCACACCATCCCTACAGTGAAACATGGAGGAGGCTCCCTAATACTGTGGGGCTGCCTCGCGGCCTCGGGCACTGGGTGCCTTGAATCTGTGCAGGGTACAATGAAATCAGAAGATGATCGAGGCACTCTGGAGTGGAACAGAAGGCTGCGTTAGAAAGCTCGGTTGCAACTCATGGGTTCTCCAGCAGGATACTGACCCAAAACAGACATTGGGCTGTTCTGAAGTGGCCTGCTAGGAGTCCTGATCTGAATTCAACGGAACCTCTACGGAAAATGCTGAAACTCACATTTGGGAGGAGGAACCCATCCAAACTAGACAACTGGAGTGGCTTGCTCAGGAAGAGCGGACGGATGACCTGCTGAGAAATGTACCGGAAGCCTTATCCAGAGCTACAGAAAGTGCTTGACAGCAGCTGTTGCCTCAGAAGGGTGTGCGATGAAATATTAGGTTAGGGGTAGCAATAATTACATCCGTGCCATTTTCATCTCTTTTATTATTGAGGTTAAGTCATTCATCAGAAGCAAGTGTCTGCTCTGTGGATTATGAAATAAGGAATGGTGGATCCCATTTACTTGTTTCAGTTTCAACATTTCATGGCAAATTGGGATTCTTTGCAGAGAAGTAGAGGGGTATCGATACTCCTGGCCACGTCTGTACAGCAACCCCCGCCAGCTGCCACCACGACCAGAGTGCCGCCTCCTCCGCGCATGTGACACGTGCAGAGTCTCCTCGTCTCTGTGCTAGGAGGACTCTGTCCAAGGGCCAGAGCAGCATAAACCAGACCAAGCCATTATCCTGGCTTCTATTCCTCTCTCCGTCTCTCTGACCTTGGATGAATTGGTTATCCCATCTCCTTGTGCCCCACTTAAAAACAGCTACTCTTCTACTTAGTGAAGGACAGCACACAGAGGTGCTATGTGCACACTACATCTAATCAAAGGTCAGCCGCTCCAGCATTGCCCATGGGAGCTCGCCTGTGGGTCTGCCTCCAGAAAAGGACCCTGCTAACTCTGAAGGAAGAGAAGCTGGTGAGGGGCGAGATTCAGGACTCACCTTCATCAGGGACTTGACCATATTCTTTCGGTCCAGTTGGAGGAAGTTCCCCAGGATGGGGAATGGGGTGGGCCCAGGGGGCAGGGGGCCTTTAACTCCCTTCTTCCTCCATGTCAACGTGAAGTAGATGCAGAAGACACAGAGCGGCGGCAGCAGCAGCAGCAGCAGCGGTGGTGGCGAAAGAGGGACCAGCTCCATGGAGAACTGCTAGAGAGCCTGGGAATCTGAAGAAAAACACACCAGCTTTAATTGGCAGCCATTGGCGAGGCAAGACAGAGAAGAGGAGGAAAAGGAAGAGCAATGCATCCAGGACTTCAGCTTACATCAGTCTGGTACCACTTTTAGCTACATTTATTGCAGACTGCAGATTCAGCAGTAAAATCTCTATTCTGCAGGGACCTCTGTGGTGGCCTCGTCCACAACAGCTCACGTGGAGGACAGGGTGAAGTTCAGGGACAGAAGAGGTGCTACAAAGGAGGGAGCTATTGAAGCTCTACTTTCCGCATCAGTTACCCTTTAATGAGATACGCTCTGCCCATCTGATTTTTTGCAAGCCAACTGGAGGAGTAACATCATGCACATTTGCAAGGAGAAAGGTGATTCACTGACGGAGGTTACAGTGGTCATTTGCTAAACAAAACTGATTTTTGAATTCAATCTTGGCAGATTATGCCAAGAACAAAAGATTAGAGAGACTCCTTAAGATGAATAGATTTTATTTTTTTTAAAAGGGAACTACAACCTAGAGGCTGAATTCATAAAACAGGCTAAATCCTAAACCAAGATTAACAAGACAAAACTGCCAAGTTCACATTACTTGCTAGGTCCAAACAAATAAGCTGCATTTTCACTTATGGTGATGCCTGTTCTCACAACCTGCTAGATTTCCACAACCCACTGATCCACAAACTACGAATGCCATTGCAGCCAAGTCTGTGGCTTGTTCTGAGTGTCTCCCACTTGGAAAAAGACCAGGAGTTTCATTTAAAAGAAAGAATGGACCGCAGCAAATTGCACCCGGGCAAAGCTCCAGATGAGAGCATATCCAGTCTTCTTCCCATCCTCCTGAAGTTTTCCCTTGCCATGCAGAATAACTCGCATTTTGGCCTGGCTGCACGGAATTGCAGCAGAGCAGGAGAGATTCTGGGCTGTGGAAGGCTGATGCAGGCCAATCCCTTGCTCCTCTTACACTCTTTTACACACACATACAGGTGAAACTCGAAAAATTAGAATATCGTGCAAATGTTCATTTATGTCAGTAAGGCAACTCAAAAGGTGAAACCAATATATGAGATAGATGCATTACATGCAAAGCGAGATATGTCAAGCCTTATTTTGGTATAATTGGGATGATGATGGCGTACAGCTTATGAAAACCCCAAATTCACAACCTCAGAAAATTAGAATATTACATGACATCAATAACACAAGGATTTTATGAAAACCCCAAATTCACAACCTCAGAAAATTAGAATATTACATGACATCAATAACACAAGGATTTTATGAAAACCCCAAATTCACAACCTCAGAAAATTAGAATATTACATGACATCAATAACACAAGGATTTTATGAAAACCCCAAATTCACAACCTCAGAAAATTAGAATATTACATGACATCAATAACACAAGGATTTTATGAAAACCCCAAATTCACAACCTCAGAAAATTAGAATATTACATGACATCAATAACACAAGGATTTTATGAAAACCCCAAATTCACAACCTCAGAAAATTAGAATATTACATGACATCAATAACACAAGGATTTTATGAAAACCCCAAATTCACAACCTCAGAAAATTAGAATATTACATGACATCAATAACACAAGGATTTTATGAAAACCCCAAATTCACAACCTCAGAAAATTAGAATATTACATGACATCAATAACACAAGGATTTTATGAAAACCCCAAATTCACAACCTCAGAAAATTAGAATATTACATGACATCAATAACACAAGGATTAAGTAAGGCTTGACATATCTCGCTTTGCATGTAATGCATCTATCTCATATATTGGTTTCACCTTTTGAGTTGCCTTACTGACATAAATGAACATTTGCACGATATTCTAATTTTTCGAGTTTTACCTGTACACACCCCTACTATAGTCTGTGTTCATGCCACTGCTTATCCATGATTAAGAGAACCAAGGTTTTCTCCATTAGCCCATTTTTCTGGACTTGTGGCAGGAGTTCAGAGTCACATAAAGTAGCCAGCTGGGGCTGGGCTGCATCACCAGGACCACCAGTTAAATGTAGTCGGCTAGTTTGTGACTCAGCAGAAGCCCCACCACGATGTCTTTATGCTCCATTTTCGAAGAACAGTTATGGAGTTAATTGGAGCTAAACAGTTATCAGTTAGTACTGACAGTGACCCAGGCTAAAGCAGGAGAGGATGATCCCTTTTCCCAGCCTGACAGGAACTGCCTTTCAAGCTCTTTGCTGGAGAGAAAAGTCTGCTAGGAGGACGGCACCCACCCAGCAGAAAGGGGAGAATGGAGGAGAAAAGGATCACAGGTTCTTTGCCACACCATTCCTGGTGCAATAGGAACATTAAGCATCTCTGCTGAAAGTTGTCTTGCACATGCCATGTTAATGTTTGACAAATGTCCCCGATGGGACAGCCCCAGCCAGATCACCTTTGAACTGCAAAGCCACGTGCAAAAGTGGCTTGAGAAATTTGGGTCGTGATGGCGGTCAATCTTATGTTCAGGCTTGGGCGTCTGTCAAGGCCAGGCTGTGCCCTGCTGAGCTCTAAGGCAGCGGAAGGGTGGATGAATCCTCCCACCTTGGCTGCTGCAGATGCCACAAGCGAGGAAAGGAAAAGTGCCGAGCCCTTCTTGGAAAACCAGCAGCCTCTTTTAAAAGGGAACTTTTAGGAAATGCGCCGCAGGTTCCTGTGATCCCGAGCAGAATCGGCCAGTTTCAGGCCAGTGCCACCTTGGCTGACATCATCTAGAACCCGAGGTTGATGAACTGCAGTTGGCCGAGGGGCTGATGCAAGCTTGCTCTTGGGTGTCTTTATATATTCTGCCTGGGGGGAGACACTGAGCAACTGCCTTGTCACCACCAGCAGGACTTGGAGCAACCATGGAGACCTCGGCCACCACTCGGATGGATTTTGGTGGGCCCTTCAGCATTCTTCTAGCCATGGCCATATCGTGCCTCCTCTTCCTCCACTTCTCGGCCAAAAAGAAGTTCACCAGACTCCCACCAGGGCCCACCCCTCTCCCGTTCATCGGCAACATGCTTCGGGTGGACGTGAAGGAGCTGATCCAGTCCCTGAGAGAAGTGAGCCATGGTGACTTGGGGGAGAACAGGGAGGGGAGGCGTGAACACTGTGCACGTGGGGAAAATAGAAAAGCATTTCCAGTGAGGATGGAGCCAGGCCCATCTTGGCACGTTTGAAACATGATTCACCCTCAGAAGGTGAGCTTGGGGACATGACATGGAAGACCCCAAGATGGGGGTGTCCCTGACCATGGATGGAATGACAATTCCTCACAGCTGGATAACCAGAAGTAGGAATGGCATGACAGAAGAGACCCTCTGAGCAGCCCTGAACCTCCCTCCCCCCCTCCCCTACAACTGAACGCCACCATCTCTTTCGCTGCTGGGCTCCGGGGAAAGCAGAAGGGGCAGGGAGGGGACTTTCTGCCAGGTGACTTGCTGGCCATCCAGAGGCCGCTTCTAAGGCTCCGGTGCCCGGCTGGAGGGGGTCGGCAAGGAGGAGGGAGAGCCCTGTGCGGGTGGGAAGCTAGGCCAGCTGTCCTTTCTGTCACGAGAGCCACGGGGGAAGCAGGAGTAGGGAGGCTTCCACACAGCCAGGGGCGTCTCCCCACGCCCAGAGAAAGGTCATTATGCTCAGGCAGCCTTCGCTCCAGTGGCCAGAGCAAGGCCCGGCCTCGGGCCCAGCCCCCTCTCTGCCTCGACCTGAAGCAGCGGAGCCCCCTCCAGCTGCACGGGGGCCAGGCGAGGACCCCGTGACACGGGGCAGCTCACGCTTCTCTCTGCGGGAAATGCCTGCCCAGCTCCACACAGCGGCTCGAGGGAGCCGGCCATCCCGCGAAGGACGTGGCCCAGCAGAGGCCACCGCTGTGGCCTGAGAGCACCGGCTTACGTAGGAAGAGTAGGCCGGGGACCTGCACCCAGGGCCGAGGGCGCCAGGAGGGTCTCTCCTCTTAGCGCAGGCCCTTGAAACTAGTCCCCAGCAACGTCCTAGATGTTGGTGGCTTTTTTCATCAGCCTTAACTCCAGGCAATTGCAGAGCTTTAACTGTAGACAGAAGAAAAGGCATGGCTTCCCCCAGGCAGCCGCAGGGGAGTGAGGGGTGTGCGTCGGGTGATTGTGTTAAATTAGGCCTGATTAAAGCGGAACCCAGGTCTGAGCTAAGGGCCCTGCCAGGCAGCCCCTTGGGTTGCCCACCAAAAGCCATGGCACAGTTGTTCTTTTCGGTGCCCTTTTGTAGAAAGATGGAAGAAGCAGAGGAACGGGGAAGGGATATTTTTACATCCCTTGGGGAAAAAATGGTGAACAAGACAACTGTACAATAAACTGCCCCTTCCCTGCCCTGCCTGGAACACCCTCCAGAGGAAAGGAGGCTTTTAAACCCAAACACATCCTGCCGAGCCAAGCCGAGCGTTCTTCCTCCCTTCTAAGTGGCTCCAGAGAAGGAGGCCTGACCCTGACCTGCCTTGATGTTCCTCTTCCCAGCTCAGCAAGACCTACGGCCCCATGTACACCTTCTACCTGGGCTCTCGCCCCTGTGTGGTACTTTCTGGGTACCAAGTGCTAAAGGAAGCCTTGATTGACAGAGCAGAAGATTTCAGTGGCCGGGGCGACTTCCCTGCTGTCCAAATGTGGAGCAAGGGAGATGGTGAGACTCTGGAAAAGTGGGGGAGGAGGAAGTAACTGCCAGCATGATTCTTAAATCCTAGGTTTTAGAGGGATGCTGAGAGCAACGAAATGATGCTCTGTCCACGTTCACTTAACTGTATTGTTCAGGGCTTCCAGAGCTGCATTCTGACTTTCAGAAGAGAGGGTGGGGGTGGGGGGTGGGGGGAGTGAATCCTAGCTCAAAGTAAGTCCCAGGATCAAGGCCAGGAGATTTCTCCAAAATCACGTTTCAGGTTCTGCTAGGCTGGAAAGAGCTTCAGTGGCAGGATTGCAAGCCGGGGGAGCCAGCGGACTGCCCGGGAGGGCGGATCTTGAGGGTCTGCCAGGCTGGGCTTTGTCCTTGAGCTCAGGATACCTTGCCCCGTGTCCCCCCCTTTGTCCCCAGGGATCGTGTATGGGACAGGGGAGCGCTGGAGGCAGCTGCGCAGGTTCGCCATCTCCACCTTCAAGAACTTCGGGATGGGGAAACGATCCATGGAGGAGCGGATCCGAGAGGAGGCCCAGTGCCTGGTGGCCGAGTTCCACAAAACCCAAGGTGGCCTGGGGGGCACTCGTCCCACCCTTTTCCTTCCTGGGGGTCTTTGCCGATAAGTAGAGGACAGGGTGCCTGAAGGTACAATCCTCCGAGGCGGTGGATACGGAATCCCCTCCCGTGGCGGTTTCCCTGGTGTTTAACAGCCGCAGCCAAGCACACCAGTGGGCCAGAGGGTTTTCCCACCCTTTGGGGCCAGGAACATCACACTCGCCGAATCCCAACTTTGAAAAAGGATAAGACAATGTATTGATGAAAATATGCTGGGCTTCAGGCTGGTTAAACGTTGTTCAAGTAGAGCAGTTGGGTCCGTTCCAGTTCAAAAGCTCTGGAAGATCTCCACTTAAGTTCTGCATATATAGTGCCTACTTCTTTCAAGCATACCCTTTCCTGAAGACACCTGAGGGTGCTTTGCAAAAGAGGCTTAGCAGCATTTCCCAGCTGGATTCCTCCAGGTGTGATGGGCCCTCAGGGAATTCTGGAAGGTTTCAGCAGCCACATCTGGAGAAGAGCAGGCTGGAAAGGCTGCTATACAGAGATTTCAATTACACCAAGTTATCTGATTTAATTATTAAATTCAATAACTTAATTCAAGTTATTTGAACTGTGTGAAAGAAACATTATATAATGTGCAGTAGTAATTGTGTGGGTGGGGGAGTGGGAGAATATTATAAAAGATCCCTAGGCTTACCTCTGCCCCTCCTTGCTCGCAGGCAAACCCTTTGACCCCACCTTCTTCCTGAGTTGTGCCGGCTCCAACATTATCTGCACTCTTGTCTTTGGGGAACGTTTTGAATACACAGATCAGAAATTTCTCATGTTGCTTGACTTGATCAACAGCAACTGGAAGCTCATGAGCTCCACCTGGGGACAGGTGAGTCTGAGCCCAGAGGAAGAAACTCCAAGGGGGAGAGCCTTGTTTTCCAGGCCAGCTAGATCAAACGCGCCTCCAAATAGAAGTCCAGCACACATCTGGCCCTACGACTTGGCAGCTGGAGGCAGCCAAGCCCACCCAGACCTCCTTCTCAGGGCCCTTACCCTGAGTTCACTTAAGTCCCTAAAGTCTGCGTTCACACAAACTGCTGTGTTTTCTCAGTTTTACCCTGATTCGTTTTATGCCGTGTGAACTCAGGTCCTTCAGCCGGCTTAGAGTTCAATACCTTGAAGAGATTGGGGATGGGCTGATTCTTCAGCCAAGCACAGTTACCCGCACCTGCCTGTGGGTCAAAAGGAACAGTGCAGGCACTTGGCCAGACCCAAATTGGAAAGGAAAGCAGATTTCATTTAATACAGACAAGGTGGCTGGTAGTGGCTAATAATTTAACTGCACCATGCCGGTCCAGTGGAAGTTTCCATATTGTCCTCCCATCCGTGTGTAAAGTATGCGAGGAACGAAGGCTGGGTGTTGCCAAAGGGTAGCTGGGGCAATCTGAGGAGGGCAACTTGGAGCACACCAGGTGTGCAGAGCCAAAAGAGGGGCAGAGCCACCAATGCCCCTCTTCCTAGTGCCCTCTTCTGAGCTGCAAACTGGCTCCTTCAGGAGGGCCCGTCACCCACCCCAGCCCCGCCCCTGAGAGAGA